CGGGACGGACACTCCATTCCCCCCATCTCCCTTCTCTTGAAGGAGCATAAAATGGGAAGAAAAGAAGCAGGATAGCGATCAAGAGCCAAACTGCACATTACATGAATTGCACAGCATGTTGCTGAGCCCTGTGTGTGTGTGTGTGTGCGCGCATGAGCATGTGTTTTACTCTAGTATAATTGTGCCTGCCCTCTACTTGGATCAGGACCTGCACATGCCAGGAAGAAAGAATCAAACCTTACCCAACTCCAATTTCTTCCAGAAATATCGCTGCCCACAGGAAAGTTTTTAAAACTACCGAAATCCCCATTGGAGGCAATTGAGACCTTTCCCCCTTCTTTTTAATACCCCCATCCCATAAGAAAGAACTTCCAGAGAAAATCGAGTGGGTGGAAGGCTTGATCCTCCTGGTGCATGCTGGTCCCCATCCGAATCAGGGTTTCATGCATTTACATTAAAGGTTTTGCTGCAGTATTAATGTCATGTGGAGCTGGACCCCAAGACCCCCACTTGGGTTTGGAGGGGCTTTACCTAATCCATCTCTGGCACAAAAGAACATAGGTGGGCACCACCATACAGCTCACATACACTTCCCACACATACCACCTGTTTTACCATGCTCGGCTTGAAGTTATTTTCCCCAGTGCCGAAGCTGGATTCTTTGTCACGGAGGGTAAACCACCCACCTAAGTTTATCAAGAAGCAGTTCTGCTGCTCAACAGCAAGGCAACTCAAAGTCAGCCTTCCTGGACGTACAAATCAACACATACTTACCCCAACAGGAGTCATAAAACACAGAGGCAATCAAGAGCAGCAAAAAAAGAAACACAAAAAATGAAGGAAAGGCCTCCAGGCAGAACGTGAGCCTTGTCTTGAAAAGAAATATATACATTTGCCACTTCTCTAATCCAAAAAACTCCTCAACAGATCCACTTGCATTTCTCCTTTGGATATGTTAATCCATCATTTTCGTTTTCTCTCCAAGACCAGGAAAGTGTCTGTGACATATCTACACCCCAATTCCTTCCTCTCCCCACACGAAAATGCAACCTGATCCATTGGCCTGCACATTTCTTTTCTTTTGGTTTGGTTTTGGCCAGGAGAAGCAAAGGGAAGGGAACTGGTCATGTGGGATCAGAAATAATAAACTTTGGATATTGCAGTTCCCTTCTGCTTCCTGCATGCCAAGGGCTGTCAGCTTCCCAGCTGGCCTTAGAGAACAGTTGCCTCCATTGCCAAGAAACTGTTTAAGATCACAGAGGCTTGGAAAGTCAAGGAGAAACAAGTTTCAAGAGAAAAGCTAACAGAGTTTAACATACACACAGCCTACTATTCAGGAATGCTATCTATCCTATACCAACTTTCAGGGCTTTCATCTGAACCAAGTCTCATCTCTAGAAGTCAGTTTCCAAGCTATAATCAAACCCAAACTGAGGCATTTCTATATTTAATTGCATTTTAATCCTGCCCTTCCTTCAGGGTGCTTCCTAGCCCTCATTTTGATCTCACAGCCACCCTGTGGGGCATATTAGACAGAGACAGACATCCAGTCGCTGGCCCAAAGGTCACCACTAGCATGGTCTTACCCAGACTGGTGCCTTCCAGTTGTTTCGAACTACAGCTCCCAGCATTCCTGACATTGGGCACACTGCCTGAGACTGATGGTAAATGAAGCCCAAGCCATCTGCAAGACACCAGGTTAGGTAAGGCTATGCTACACTCGCCCTGACATGGGGAGCAGCAGTCGTTCGAAATAGTCACTTGCAATTAACTATTTCATGTTAATGTTTCCACCTCTTTCTTCCCAGTAAGGAACATTAAAGCAGCAAATACTGACTCATCAGAATAACAATCCCAAAAATACGAAAAAGAGTAATCTATTTATACAAATGTTACAATAACCCATCAAGAACATTAAAAGAATCTAACAGTAGTATAAGAATGCAATTAATAAGCAGACTATAAATGTAAGCGTGATGTCCTTACATCTTTAAGTGCATTTGCTGTGATACAAAATTCATCAATGTTAAAATAAACAAATTCCCATTGTGCAAATATTTAACTAAAAACAGAGACAATCACACAGGAGACATACTTGGAATCAAAAGTACCGCCCCGCACAACCCACTTTGCCAGACAGTCTCCACAATAAAACATTGAGACACGCCATTTAAATGAACACGTTCAGAGCCAAGAGCAGCCAAGAGAGATCACAGGAAGGAGGAGTGTTTGATAGTCAAACCACTGGGTCTGACTAGCTCAGCACCATCTGTACCAGCCTTTCCCAAAATGGCCCCTTCCCAATGTTTTCGGCTCCAATTCTCGTCAGCCTTAGCCAGCATGACCAATGTTAGGTATGATGAGAGCTGTCCTCAAAATGTTCTGGACTTCATTGGGTTGGGCAAAGGAGATTTCCACAAACCAACCAACAAGTCACCAGTATTCCGAGGGTGGGGAGTCTTTCCCAGCTCTGTCCTGGAGATGCCAGAGACTGCATGCAAAGCCTGAGATCTGCCCAAGAGCTCCAGCCAAGTCCTTGCTGTCAACCTAGTCCAAGACCCTTTAATCAGCATCAGAAGCCAGGCCAGGAAGAAATCCACCAGGGCTAGAGGCCCACATCTCTCCTACAGAGTCTCAGGGCTCTGGGAGACAATCCACCTCACCCCCCTGCCAGCGTTCCACACCCAATTCTTTCCCAGCTGCCCCTCACGCAAATTCTGCAAGAGGCACCCAGAATCTTGCGGGAGCCCAAATGAAACAAACAAACAAATCAGAACTCCTCTGAAATCTCATGCCTCCGAAACCTCACAAGATTTTGAGCTCACCTCCCAGCAAGATTAGGAGAAACCATGCTGCAGGCCTGTGTTCAGAGCCACACCTTGGGGCTTGGTAATGAAGTGAGATCATGAGAAGAGCCCTGCCAGATCAGACCAAAGGCCTTTTTGTTGTTAGTCGTGGTGAAGTCGTGTCCGACCCATCGCGACCCCACAGACAACACTCCTCCAGGCCTTCCTGTCCTCCACCGTCCCCCAGAGTCCACTCAAGCTCACACCAACTGCTTCAATGACTCCATCCAGCCACCTCATCCTCTGCCGTCCCCTTCTTCTATTGCCATCTGTTGTTCCCAGCATTAGGCTCTTCTCCAGGGAGTCCTTCCTTCCCATTAGGTGGCCAAAGTACTTGAGTTTCATCTTCAGCATCTGGGCTTCTAAAGAGCAGGCAGGGTTGGTCTCCTCTAGGACTGACCAGTTTGATCGCCTTGCGGTCCAAGGGACTCACAGGAGTCTCCTCCAGCTCCGCAATTCAAAGGCCTCAATCCTTCGGCGCTCAGCCTTCCTTATGGTCCAGCTTTCACAGCCATGCATTGCAACTGGGAAAACCATGGCCTTGACTTCACGCACTTTTGTTGGCAGGGTGATGTCTCTGGCCTAAGCATGGCATTTTTCACAGTGGCCACCCAGGAGCAAATGGGAAGCCCGCAGGCCGGACACAAGGGGAACGGCCGAATTAATGAACTGTACACTGGCGATGAAAGTGCTGCCCTGCTTACTGCACGACCCTATAGATGCCAATGCAAAAGTCCGACTGAGCTCAGCCACACCTTCGCCATGCGGTGCCACTTCAGGCGACTACTACATGGCGTGCATGTGCCAACCCTTCCCAACCCAGCACTTTCCAGATGTGCTGGGCTACAACAGCTATCATCCCCAGTGGCTATGAGAGTTGTTGAGAGGGATGGGGGTTGTAGTCCTATGCATCTGGAGGGCACCAGGCATCTTTCATTCCATCCCCATCTTAAGAATATCTGCATTTGCAAAACAAAGAGCCATTCTTTGACTGGTATGTTCACATTTTGCATCCACTTTGCCACTGAATAATCACAACCTGACCCACTCTCCTATTTTTTTAAAGAAAAGATGCACTATCCATAGTTCAGCACCTCTATAGGGCCTGGCCCAAGTCCACACCTCCTGCCTTCTCCCTCTGCAAAGAACACAGGAATTTCAGCAACATCACTGCAACTTTCAAAAAGTCCCGGCTTCAATACACCGTCTGACTGTGTCATATCAGATTTCACTCCTTCTTAAGGGGAACCTGCAAGTTTTGGTCGAGTCGACACAGCTGGCCTTGGTTTGAGTGTTATAAGATCTCTTGGGCATGATTTACTGTTAGAAAGTATTCCAAGAGTTAGGAGGAGAACTCTCAAGGGGCTTGGAGAGCAAGAGGCCAAAGATGAGGAGTTCTAGGTTCTACCACAAAAACGGATATTCCTATGGATTTCTTCCAATCCATCGCTAATTAAAGAGATATGCTCATGGTTCCAAGCCCTCTACCATCCAGAGCACTGCAACTCACACCTTCCCAAAGGATCTGAGAATCCAAGCTCCTTCAACACGAGGTGCCCCCTTCCAATGGAAGTCTGGTCACCTGTCATCTCAGACCAGGAGTCCTCCTGGTGTCCCAGCCCCAATCCAACCTCCCCCAAAAGCCAGCCCCCCTCCCAAACGACTGTCATTTACCAGAGAACCCGGGAATCCTAGCTCACCTCGCTTGGCTAGTCCACACCTCCCCCTCCGCCGGTGGTAAGAACAGCACCCTTCGCCTCACCTATTATCATACCATCCTTGTTATCACACTCACCATCAAGAGCATCCAGAGAATCATCTCGCCTCTTGCCAGCTGCGTACACCCAAACCCCACGACACTCCCCTCCAGCGTCCTGGTTCCCCTCCCCCCTCACCCCACTTTGTCTTAGGCCCCGGTTACCCTCCCGAAAGATACCTCCGTTCTGACTTATTATCCCAGCCCGCAACAAAACACGAGCCAGGAGTGCCTCAGGGCATCACCCCTTCCAAAAGAAGACGACCCTCCCCTGCTCCAACCGACCAGACCCGGTACCCCTCCGAAGGAACCCAGGAGTCCTGGCTCAATCGAGGTCTCCTTTCCCACATACCCTCCCCCCCAACACCCCTGCCCCTCCCGCCTCGCCCCCCTCTTACCTCTCCCAGGGCGATTCCATCCACTAGATTCTAAGTGACTAGAAGTCCCTCCCCGCCTTTCTTGTAGACCAAGAATCCGGAGACAGGGAAAGGTAGGTGGAGGGCGGCACTTCGGCGTTCGGGCTCCCCCGCTCTCCACCAAAGCCTCGGGATGAGGAGCGAGCTGCCCTGCCTCTCCAGGCAAGATCGCGGACTTTGCCCCCACCCAGCCCGTCGGGTGCCTGCAAGGCGAAAGGGCGCCTGGAGGGTGGGATCGCCCAGACGCTCACCCTCAGAAGCAGCCGCTGATGAGCGGGGGGCGCGCCGACTTCGCCATTGCTAGTACAGCGCGGGGCTGAGAGTGCATTGTCTCTCGGCTGGGCGGGGGAGGCGGGGCTCCCGCAAGCCACGCCCCTCCTCCCGGGGATCGTTCGGAAGCCAGTTCCGCCCTCCCCCCAACACGCCGGCAATGCTTTTGAATGGAAGTCTCCGATCCACCGTCAGTGGGAAGAGGGGTGTTTATGGGTGAAGCTCAAGGCCATCTGGAGTGGCACTCAAACTAGCGGAGCAGCTAGTCTGTTTTCTCACTGGAGTCCTTGCGGCCGGTGCGTGCAGTGGTGAGTTTCTTCTAAACCTCTTTAGCTAGCGGCCACGCCCTCTTTCAGCTGGAACAAGGCTAATTGCATTCCATAGCCTGCGTGCTTATCTAGCAAAGCATCGATGCATGTCAGCTCGAGTCGATGCATGTAAGCCAGGATCCCTTTAGCAGGTGGCACCAACTCTTAGTTTACCGAACAATGAGCTAGCTTTCTGGTTTCACAGAAATCTTTTCGGATGCGATGTTAGGGACAGCCCACGAGCGCTGGAGCCTCGAAACTCTGGGCTGCCTCGTCAGCCTGCGGCCCCTGGGCACTTACGGGAAAAAAAGGTATAGGGCCCCGCTGATCTCTGTTGCATCTGATCCCCTGGGATTAGCTGTCTTTTTGCTCATGTGCGCTTCACTTCCTGTTCCCCGGCATTTTTCTGCCTGCGTTTGTTTTTCCCTGTTTGTTCAAATGTCCTCCTCTCCCCTGCCCATACTTCACGTCTTACCAGTGGTGGTGGTGTCCTTAGGGAGCAGAGGCCTTTAGAACATAAGAAAAGCCGCGCCGGATCAGAGCAGTGGTCGGCCCGAACCAGCGCTCTGTTCACATGGTGGCAAACCAGCTGCAAGCAGGATGGAAACAACAGTTTGAGTCCGCCCGAACTGCTCAGCGACTGGTGTGCACCAGTTAGTCCACCTCTGATATTGAAGGGGGGCATAGCTATGGATACCAGTAGCCACTGATTGCCTCCTCCACGAATTTCTCCCATCCCCCTTTAAAGCCACCCAAGTTGGAGGCCATCACTAAATTCCTGAGGCAGTGAATTCCATAGCTTAACTATATGCTATGTGAAGAAGTCCTTCCTTTTATCTGTCTTGAGTCTCCCGTCAGCTTCATGAGATGATCCCGGGTTCTAGCGTTATGGGAGAGGGAGAAAAATGCCTTCCCCTCCACACCATAAATAATTTTGAACACCTCCGTCTTGTCTCCCCTCATTTACATTTTTTCTAAGCTAAACAATCCCAGTTGTTATAACTTTTCTTCAGAGGGAAATTAATTCAGCACCTTGATCATTTTAGTTACCCTTCTCCAAACTTTTTCTAACTCATAATGTACTTTTTCAGGTGCAGCAACCAGAACTGTAACCAATATTCTAAGTGCAAAGATTTGAAAGGGGGAGGCGGTTTGATCTTGGCCAATTAATTTTCCTTTTCTTTCCTAACTGTGCCTGACATGAAGTTTGCCTTTTTCACAGCAGCTGTGCACGTGGTCAGGCTGACCACGACAACCCCAAGACCCCTTTCTTGGTCAGTCCCCACGAGTTCAGATCCCATTATTCTTGAAGTTGAGATTTTGTTTTTTTGCTGCAATGTTCATTGCTTTACACTTGCTTACACTGAACTGCATTTGCCATTTTGATGCCCCTCCTCCCAGCTTGGAATTCTTCAGAATCTTTTTGGTTTCAACCACTCTAAACATTCTGGTGTCATCAGCAACCTTGGTCTCTTCACTGCTCGTTCCTAATTTCAGATCATTTATAAATAGATTGAAAAGCATTGGTCCTAATACCGAAGCCTGTGGCACTGCACCGGTGACATCGTTCAGGAGACTTTGGTGAGGGACTTTGTGAGCGGCCTTTTAGAAGTCCAAGTAAACAATGTCTGTCAGATTACATTGTCCACCTGAGTCCTGACATTCTCAAACAACACTTAATAGGTTAGTGAGACAGGACACCTTTGCAGAAGTCGTTGATTTTCCTTCAGCAGGATTTGCCCCTCTGTGTGTTTACTGATTCTACCTTTAATAAGGTTTTGACCATTTTACCCAGCACAGACATTAAGCAGTCCAGCTTGTAATTTCCCAGAACCCTTTTAAAAAATGTGTGTTACACTGGGCATTCTCCAGTCCTCTAGTACAGAGGGTGATCTTCAGAATATGTTAAGATTTTTTTTGGTGAAAGGTCAGTGGTGAGTGGCATCAAAATACCCACTGTGGCAACCTAAAGCTCTAACAGCCAGTCACTAAGGCTTAGGTGAGAAATTGCAGCCATTTAAATAGGGAAGAAATCAAGCAAAAGCCAACACAATTAAGGCAGTGGCGGTGCAGGAGTGGAAATGTGAAGATGCCAGAGAGCCAAACTGCGACTCAGGTGGCCCAGGAGCCCTTCCCTGTGGCATCTCGGGGCAGCATGCAGGGCTCAGGACGGGCCATGTGGCAGGCAGCTCAGTTTCTAAATAACATCCAGACAAGGCAAAGGGCTGGAGAAATGCTGCATCTGCCCGGCACCACAGCGTCCTTCACACACGCACCGCGCCTCTGTGTGGATTGGGCATGGGAAGAAGGCATGTCCGAGGCAGCACGCCAGCAGTGGGCAGTTGCCCCAGCTACCTTCAGCTGCAGCCTTGCCCACTCTGTGCATCTGCCTCCCCTGCCCATAGTAGTAGATCAGAGCCAATGGATGAGGGCCAATAAACTGAAACTCAACCCAGACAAGACGGAGGTCCTGTTGGTTGGCGGATCGGGTTTCGGAGAGGGTGGATTTGACCTGGTCCTGAATGGTGCAACACTCCCTCTTAGGGATAAGGTCCGCAGCTTAGGTGTACTCCTCGACCCGGAGCTTTCTTTGGAAGCTCAGGTGACAGCGGTAGCGAGGAATGCCTTCCTTCAGCTTCGGCTGATTAATCAGCTGCGCCCCTACCTGGAATACGACTGCCTGGCGACGGTGACACACGCGCTGGTGACTTCCCGCCTAGACTTCTGTAACGCGCTTTACGGGGGGCTTCCCCTGAAGACAGTCCGAACACTTCAATTGGTGCAAAATAGAGCTGCCAGGTTGCTGACGGGGACGGGGCGTTATGCTCACATGACTCCAGTCCTCCGTCAGCTTCACTGGCTTCCCATTGAAGCCCGGGCCCAATTCAAGGTGTTGATTATGACCTATAAAGCCCTAAACGGCTTGGGTCCTGGCTACCTGAACGAGCGCTTACGTCCGTATATGCCCGACCGCCCTTTGAGATCTGCGGGAGAGTCCCTTCTCCGGGAACCCTCCATGAAAGAAATTAGGAGAGTGAGTACCCGGAGGAGGGCTTTCTCTGCGGTGGCGCCCAACCTATGGAATTCACTCCCCAAAGAGGTCCACCTGGCACCGTCGTTACTGGTTTTTCGGCGCCAGGTCAAGACCTTTTTATTTAAACATCATTTCAATTGTTAAAACATATGATCTGGCCAGGGCAACTTCTTCCTTCTCTTTCTCCTCCTATATTTTTATTTTATACTGATAATTTTAATTTTATATTTGTAAATCAATGTATTTTTTGTATTTTTGTATTTAATGGTAATTTATTATGTACTATTGTATTTCAATGTATTTTATCATGTTGTAAGCCGCCCCGAGGTTTCGGCAAGGGCCGGCTTAGAAATGTTATAATAATAATAATAATAAATAACAACAACAACAATAACAACAACAACATCCCCTCAAGCAATGCCCCTTCAATGCAATATTGCATCCTTAATGGTGGCGTTAGAGGACAAGCATCTGTGAGGACTTTTGCGGGCTAATTCAGCAGCAAATGGCCTGCTTCTTTGTGATTCTGGCAATCCCTCTCTGCCATTTTTCTGCTCATCTTTTTCCCTTTTCTCCTAGGCAGCCGGTGCTCAAGGAGGTGCTAGCCACCAGCAGCCTGTGGACCTTGGTATTGTGTCACTCTTTTATCCCACAGAGCAAATCGTAGGACCAGGCCAACTGAGATATGCAGTTTTCTGCTCTGCTGTAAAAAGCACCATTTAGTTAGGATCATTGGAGAACTGGGCATCATACAGGCCTTGCACCACTGCAGTAAAGAACCAGAGTTGTCGCACAAAAATGGGCATGAGCCCTACAAAAGAAGTGTGGCAAAGGCAATATAGGAGAATAGTAACCCCAGGCATATTACTGTCCACACATGCCTCACTCCTCTGCAGAACTGAGATCAGAAAACTCAAGCTCGGAAACACAAATGGCAAGGTTAATATCCTATCCCAATATGATGTGGGTTGGGGAGAAGGTGCTGATGTTTTGCATCAATGCGATACTGATGAAGTGTAGATAAAAAATGTGCTTCTAGATGGAGAGGCTCCTAGCACTACCAATCAAAATGTGTTGTGCACCCTTCCATCTTTTCCTCCTTAATGGATATTTTTCTGGTAAGAAAAAGGCAGAAATAGCAGTAGGAAAACAGGAAATTACAAATTAAAAATGAGAACAGGCTTCTTGTTTTTATGTGCCATCAAGTCATCACCAACTTATAGTGATTTTATGAATGGATGCCCTCCAAAATATCCTGTCCTTCACCTAGTATAAAGTTTCATAGATAAGACAGGGTGATTGCGCAATAAAGGCCTTGCCGGGGGCACCCGAAGAAGAGATTAAAATCTGTTCCCAATGTGGAAGGCTCTTTATTCGAAGCTCTATACCATGTGCCAAACATACATGTGCCAAGGCACAGGCTTTCTGTGCTCAGAGTGAAGAATGTTCTCCTATCTTACTCTGTAATGCCCTTCTGCTTTTGCAACTATTAATAGAATTAATTTAATAAAACAGATTTAATCCGAAAAGTTAAGGTCTAAGCAAACTTTACTGAGTCATAAACAGATAGTTCCCCTGCTAAGCAGCTGGCAGTATAAAACAGCGCGGATCAGAACAGGGTTCTGATAGAATGGGACCACCACTGCGACAGAACATATTAACCACGGTTGTCTTTTTAAACCA